AATAGTTTTAACATTCTCCCACAACAAGTTTCATTTTCATTGGAAAGCCAGATTTACAGAAAGATCTTTCATCCACAGGTTCACTCCTCAAAAGGCCACAACAGCCACAGCTGAGCTGCCAGAAACCAGGAGCCTCTTCCAGGTCTCTCATGTGGGTGCAGGATCCCAAGGCTTTGGGCCATCCTTGACTGTTTTCCCAGGCCACAAGCAGGGAGATGGAAGGGAAAGTGGAGCAGCTGGGACACAAGCTGGTGCCCATATGGGATCCTGGTGCATACAAGGTGGGGTGGGCCACTAGGCTACCACACAAGGACCAATTGATCCACTTCTAAGAACAAGTCTGCAACTCACCATAAGACTGACACCACCATACTGGAACAGCTCATATGAGTAGAGAATTCTTTCCTAGTGAGACTTTGAGAGAGATCCAGTTTCTTTTCCTGGCAGATATCCCAAGCAGATATCGACTTTGGACCATTTCTTTTTCCTTGGTGACCATTTCAAAGCCTCCTTTGCTGGCAACAATCTAGATTAAAAACAAAAAAGAGTAAAAATTATTATTTAAGTAGAGGCAAGCATTATCTCATAAATACATAAATTGCTCTGGGCTGGGATTTTAGAGTTCCACAATTAAATAGCAACAGTGACACCTGTAATGTTTACAGGCAAACAAGAAATAGGACAATTACTGAAGCTTCTTTGTTGATTTTGTTGTTAAGATTGATTTCTTGCACCCAGCACACTGGTCTAGTGGCTAAAATCGTCGGCTTGAACGAGCCGGGATACCATATGGTTGCATGTTCATATCCCGACAGCCCCGTTTCCCATCCTACTCCCTGATCATGGCCTAGGAAAGCAGTTGAGGACGGCCCAAAGCCTTGGGATCTTGCACCCATGTGGGAAAGCTGGAAGAGGTTGGAGGCTCCAGACTTCAGATCATGTAGCCCCAGGCATTGCGGTCACTTGGGGAGTGAATCATCAGACAGAACATCTCTCTGTCTCTCCTCCTCTGTGCATATCTGACTTTGTAATAAAAATCAAGAATCTTTTAAAAATGATTTATTTACTGTGGGCCCAGAGCGATAGCCTAGTGCCTAAAGTGCTCAACTTGCATACGCCAGGATTCTATATGAGCACTGGTTCATGTCCTGGCTGCTCCACATCCCATCCAGCTCCCCTGCTTGTGGCCTGGGAAAGCAGTCAAAGATGGCTCAAAGCCTTGGGACGCTGCACCCATGTGGGAGACCTGTAAGAAGCTCCTGGCTTCAGATTGGCTCAGTTCTGGCCGTTTCAGCTACTTGGGGAGTGAACCAGCAGACAGAGATCTTTCCCTCTGTCTCTCCTTCCCTCTTTATATCTCACTTTCCAAAAGAATAAATTAATTTGAAAAACTTCATTGTTTGGAAAGGCAGATCAGATTCACAGAGAAAGAGAGGCAGAAAAGATCTTCATCCTCTGCTTCATCACCCAAGTGGCCATAATGGCCACAGCTGAGGCGAGCCAGAAGTTTCTTCCGACTCTCCCAGAGGGGGATAAGGTCCCAAAGTTCTGAACCACCCTCTTCCTCTTTCTCAGACCACAAGCGGGGAGCCAGATGGGAAGCAGGGCTGCCAGGACACACACTCAACCACAAGGGATCCTGGCTCTTCCAGGTGAGCATTCAGTCATTGAGTCGTCATACCAGTCCCTCTCAAGGGCTTTTTTATTGTTTGTTTGTTAAGGTTTATTTATTTTTATTGCAAAGTCAGATACACAGAGAGGAGAGGAGACAGAGAAGATCTTCTGTTCATTGATTCACTTTATACAAGGCTGCCACGGCTAGAACTGAGCCAACATTCTAAAGCTAGGAGCCAGAAGCCTCCTCGGGGTCTCCCTTGTGGGTGCAATGTCCCAAAACTTTGGGCCGTCTTTGACTGCTTTCCCAGGCCACAAGCAGGGGAATGGGAGGCAAAGCTAACAGGAGTACAACTCGCACCCATATGGGATCATGGCACATTCAAAGCCAAGACTTCAGCCACTAGCCTACCATGCTGGACCCCCTCTCTAAAGTTTTAAACGCTAAAGTTTAATTCATGTTAGAGTGCCTACACTGAAACTAGACATTTAACAGATTTACTCAATTTGGACCTCTTGCCTGGTTTGAAGAACAGACTAATTTCTGTATCTAACTAAATTCTTCAGAATATGTAACATAAAAGGCAGCAGATGAGGCTCAGCTGCCAGATTCCACTCGCATGGAAACCCAGACTGGGTTCCTGACTCCTGGATGTGGCTGGGCCCTGAGCTAACAACTGCAGACATGTGGACAGCGATCAGTGGAAGGGACATCTCCATGTTTCTGATTCTCTGCCGCTCACATAAATCACAATGCAATAAGAATTAACATACACTTGCAGCAGAAGCAATAATAGAAACAAAGAAACAAATAACCTTTCCCATCATTTTACTAAACTAAAATGCTCCATAATTGAATTTTTACAATTTAGACTCTTATTTGAAAGTGAAATGAGAAGAGCTCTTCCATCCACAGGAGCTTCATCCAGGTCCCCCATACAGGCGACAAGGGCTCAAGAACCTCCGCCTTCTTCCGCTGACTGTCCCAGGCCATCAGCAGGGGTTGCATGGAGTACAACAGCCAGGACCTGAGCAACGGGCTGGCGGCTGTGCAGGCAGCAGCTCTACTCATCATGAAACCAACTCAGGCTCACATTATTTCAATTTCTAAACATCACCAAACTAAGGACAAAAGCTCTCCACAAAACCAAGATTCTTTTGACGAAAAATAGGCATGTATGTGTGTATTTTAAAACTAAAACCAACACACAGGGAAGAGACAGACATGTTTCTTCCATCCACTGGTCCACTCCCCAGATGCCCACAACGGCCAGGCTAAAGCCAGAAGCTGGAACTCCGCCTGGGCCTCCACATGGGTGCAGGGATCTAAGGAACTGGGCCATCTTCAACATTTCCGCTCAGGTCATTCTCAGGCAGCTGCATGAAGGCAGAGCAGTCAGGACTCACACTGGCAACATAGGCAGCAGTTTCATCCACGACACCACACAGGCCCCGAACCAAGTTTCTAATTCACTTCCCACTGACCTTCTTTCTCATTATACTAGAAGAAACCATCCAGCCAAAACATCATAAACCAAGGAAAACAAAGACTTGCAACAAAGGAAGAAGCAAAAGGAAAGCCCCAGAGGGTCTAGGCTAATAGCTGACCTTAAAAACAGCTGGTCTGGAGTGAACAGCAAAGATAACTCCAGGAAACAGCCACATGGCCATGTGGGATGTCGGCACTACAGATGGTAGATTAGCGCACTGTGCCACAACACTAGCCCTCACATACACTTGAACCAGAATATTAGCAGAAACTCTGACATTTCACTACTTATCTCTACAAAACCACTCCTACCGGAACAAGAGAGAGAATGAAATTTTCAGTGAAAACAAATCACTGCAATAATTGACTTAATCAAAAACTCAACGAAAATGTGATAAATTGGGGGCCAGCATCATGGCACTGTAGGCTAAGCTTCCACCTGTGGCACAGGCATACCACTCAGGTGCCAGCTGGTGTCCTGGCTGCTTCACTGCCCATCCAGCTCCCAGCTTGTGGCTGTGAAGGCAATAAAGGACGGATAGGTCCTTGGTCCCCTGCATTCATGCTGGAGACCCAGAAGCACTGGCTCAGCCCCAGCTATTAGGGTCATCTGGCAAATTTGATGTTGGATGGATGATCTCTGTCTTCTTCTCTCTGTGTTACTCTTTCCAATAGAAGTAAAAGGATCTTACAAACAGAGAGAGAGATCTACAGTCAAATGGCTGATTGCCTAAATCCTCACCTTGCAAGCACCGGGATCCCATAGGGCTGACAGTTCCAGGTCCTGGCTGCTACACTTGGCATCCAATTCACTGCTTCTCGCTTTCCCTCCATTCCTCTCTTGTTACAAGAGATCGGTAACTTCTCTTAAAAGGAATCCAAAACAACAAGCATTAGCTTACTCAAAAGCACAGAAACAAACACAAGAAAGCACAAGAATGGGGACTGGGCCTCCTAGGTATTTAGGGCTCTGCCAAGTTTGGGCAGTGTGCCCCATTGCACATGGGGGACAGGGCAGCCAGCTCATCTCAGCCAGATGGGGATGTGCCATGTCAGAAAATGGAAAGCAGAACAGAACAGACCATTCTGCTGGCCAAGCTTACAGCAAGTGCCTGGGCCGGTGGATGCACTAAGGTGGACTTGGTCAGCCAGTGGATCTGGAAAAGATCTTCTCAGCCCTGATGCAATCAAGTCAAAACTGCCCAAGCCACTCAAGCAACACCCTGGGATGGCAGATGGCCAACACATAACCTCACCTCCAGGAACCTGCACTAAGTGCTAACCACGGCCACCCTGGTAAACCAAGCATAAAGGCAAGCAACAACCTCCCCTCCTGCACCCCTGCTCATGGCCAAGCTACCCTTGCCATCAGGGACCTCAAAAAGACAGCAATCCACCAGCAGCCATAATGACTCCAATATAACCCCAAGGACAGGCCTGTGCTCAGAGACACCAACAATGAACAACACACCACCTGCCCTCAAGGACCCTGGGCCAATGACCAAGCCACTGGATGACTTCCCAGACCCAGCACCCAGGGCCAAGCTGAGGCTAGCCCTGCTGGACCACACACAGAAAGCAAGCCGCCGCCTCCCCACCCGGACCCCATGCTGATGGCTAAGCCACTGCCTACCCTTCCTCCTGTACTGAAGACCAAGCCAACGCCTGGTCTCCAGGAACACACACTCAGGGCTAAGCCATGAATCAGCCTCCTAAACCCCACAGGAGTGCAAGTGGACATCGCCCCTCCTGTACCCCTACTGATGGCCAAGCCACCGACTCACCAGCTGACCCCACACCCAAGGACAAGCAGCCGCCTGGCCTGCACTCCCAGACATGGGCTAGGGCCAAGCCGCCACCTCCCCTTCCTGGACCCCTGGACATTCGGGTGTCTTACCTTGTAGATGTCCGTGTTCTTGGTCACAGGTTGCATGGTGCTGGTGAAGTCTAGTGGGTCTGTGAACTCCTCCAGTGAGGCTCAAAGTCCAGGAACTCTGGGGGCGGCACCAACTCCACCTGGAACCCAGCCAGCCCCAAGTGGGTCCACCATGGCGGCCACCACTAGGCCCTCCCCAGGTCGGGTGCAGGTGGACAGCAGGTGGGACGAGGGTCAGCTGGAGTCCACGAGCCACGTCACGTCCTCTCACAGAGCCTCACCACATCTTCCAGCACGAGAACTGCTCCCCATGGAGAGCCCAGCGGTGCAATCTCTTCCTCTGCTGCTTCTTCGCTGACTGAGGCTGTGGGGCCGCAGCACCTTGCAGGAAGTGACCTTGCGGCCAATTCCTCCGCGTCAGCACCACGCAGGATTCCTCCGTCATCCAGGACCCTTTTCTTCCTCCTCCCAGACCCCAGGGTGCCCGGCTGTGCTGCCTCTCCTCGCCCAGGGATGTTCTGCACGGCTGGACGGGGCCAGGTGCTTCTCGCTGCACTGGGCCCTGGAGAACAAGGGGAGAGATGCAAGCGCTTTCCTGTCAAGCAAGAAAAGTACCTACACTACACAGGCTACACCAGTCAAACACCAGGAGCCACGAGCTCAACTCCCTACTGCCAGGCCTGGGGCATGGAATAAACTCTGTGAGCTATCACCTGTAGGCTTCCATGTTGAGCATTATCAGAAAGCCAGGCTTGGGAATAGAGCCAGGCACTCCACCATGGCATGGAGGTGTCCAAGGCAGTATCTCCACCATTTGACTAATGCCTACGTCCCTCAGAGAATTACTATCATGTGAAGAAATGATGGGGCTCACTTCAATCCAAAAGAAATTCCTTCAGAATTTAGAGTGAGAGGAAGAAGTCATAAACAGGGAATGAATTTTGACAAAGGAACCAGTGTTGACTTGAAAGTGGTTTGGGGAAGATGGGAGAAATTAAGGTTGATGACAACAGCTGTCCAAACTAGCATTGTTACAGAAATAATTAAGGGGAAATAGTTGGAAATATTTAACATGTAGAAATGCATGGATATATGCATTGGTGCGTGAAAGCAAAGAAAAAAGGTAAAAACATTTTTATTTCATATCAGGTTGCACACCCCGGTGCAGAATTTCATTATAATTCATAGAAAAAAAGCAAGACTATATTTTCATTATTGTGTGTGATGGGGTGTTAACAATGGTGAAGTTTGGCATTCTTGTGGCATAATAATGGAGATTATGACAGGATTAAATGGGGACCAAGAGAGCTGTGTGGATTAAAGATATGAATTGTGGAGTCATCAATTGCTATCACAACTAAATTTCAAAAATGATAGAGGGAGCAGATGCTAAGGCAAGAAAAATCCTCATCAAACTAATGATCATTCTGGCAATCAAGATGATATCTGGAGGAAAAAAATGTTCTTTAGAATAGGTGAAATTTCAGTAGACAGTGAAAAAAGTTGTCTCGAATAGAAAATTATGGAGGATACCACAACAATATAGCATTATGAAGAACAGGCTAAAAACACCCAATGCTTTCAAGTGCTATGTAAAATCAAATAACGCAGTGTCTAAACTTTTGCCTGTCAATATGGAATGAGAGAGGAAAGTAAAAGTGCCTCCTGGAGTAGATTCAGTGCAGTCATGCACAGTCAAAGGCAATTTGTAATAGATAGAACTGGGCCTGCAGGATAGCGTAATGGTTAAGGTCCTCACCTTGAACCAACCTGGATCCCATATGGGCATCGGTTCTAATTCCGGCACCTCCACTTCCCCTCCGGCTCCCTGCTTGTGGCCTGGGAAAGCAGTCGAGGATGGCCCAAAGCCTTGGGATCCTGCACCCGCATGGCAGACCCAGAAAGAGGCTCCTGGCTCCTGGCTTAGGATCAGGGCAGCCCCAGGCATTGTGGTCAATTGAGGAGTGAATCATCGGACGCAAGATCTTCTTCTCTGTCTCTCCGCCTCTCTGTACATCTGCCTTTCCAAGAAAATAAATAAATCATTTTTAAAAACAGATATAATTTATGGGAAGATTAACAAGAGAGAGCGTGAATATAATTATGTACTTTTAAAGTACAGAGAGAAAAGGAGAGACAGATAACAGAAGATGACTTCTCTTCACTCCTGGCTCATTCACTGTCGAAATGAGCCATGCGTTTTTTTTGGATTACCCACACAGGTGCCAGGGATCCAGGATCCCCAGCTGGCAGCCTGAAAGGACGTGACGCAGCTGGGACTCAAACTGCCATTCTATGAATGCTGGTGGTGTGAGCCATGGTTTCACCCACTGCACCACAGCAGCACTCCAATGCTGCACGAGTTCTAACCACCACACAAACCAAAGGAAATGCTTAGCTACAACCATGCACATGTAAAGCAATCTTCAGAGCAGTGCAGTTCTCAGTAACAAATATCTCAAAACTATCCAACTTCAACACAGTCAATGACATTTCTGTGAGGAATCATGCTGCTTCCAAACATTTCTGGAAGTTGGAATAATGTGGGAAAACTCTGCTTGGTTTAATAATTCACATTTCCATGAACTTACTGCTGACTTCTCATACACACTGACTTCAGTTTTCTTGGATAAAATGACAGCTATCGTTCAATTCATTTTATTCATGAACTTTTACAACAGATTTATTTATTTTTGGGAAAGGCAGATGTACACAGAGAAGGAGAAACAAAAAGGAAGATGTTTCATTCGATGATTCACTGCTCAAGCAGCTGCAATGGCCAGAGTTGCACCAAGCCAGAGCCAGGGGCCTGGGGTCTCTTCTGGGTCACCCACGCAGGTGCAGGGTCCCTAGGCTTTGGGTCATCCTCAACTGCTTTCCAAGGCCACAAGCAGGGAGCTAGATGGGAAGTGAAGCTGCCAGGATTAGAACAAGTGACCACATGGGAACCTGGTAGGTTCAAGGTGAGGACCTTAACCACTACACCCTAAAATCAATCAATCTTAACAAAAACCTTCTGCCCCTCCATTCAAAGACATGCAAATAAAGGAATAAACTCAATCACCAATATATTGGCCTTTGTTCATACATACCTTAGAGATGTGTCCACATGTTGCCTGTCTCTGTGTGTATTCTGAAATGCTCTTTACACAGGCCTGGAAGGAAGGCAAGACAAGGAATTTAGCCACTAGACTACCACGGTGGGCCCATGGTTTACTTCTTAAACTTTTCACAAAGGAGGAGGGGGCTTATCTTGCCCAGTTGACAGTTCATACTGCAAATGTACCTAAAGTCTTCCAGGTCACAAGCAGGGAGCCATATGGGAAGAGAGGCCATCGGGATTACAACCGGCACCCATACGGGATCCTTGTATGTGCAACAGGAGGATTTAGCTACTAGGCTACTGTGCCGGGTCCCAATTTGGTTTTTGAAGTATGAAAGTATTCGCTGTCTGCCTTTGTGCTAATCCTCCTGAAATAGTGATCAACAGAATGCACTGACTCATTATTTTACCTTGTTTCTTATAAATTATCAGACATTAATGAAAATCCAGACTCTACTTGGATCCACTAATCCAGACTCTAACCTTGGAAAACGTATCCATGTTCAGTTTATTTCTCATCCCTTGGTCCAATGTACAGATGTCTAAATCAATTGGCGTCAGTTACTTTTAGCATCATTGTAAATGTAAAACCTAACCTAAGTGTCCATGTACTAAGACTCTGTGTTTGGAACATGTGGTTTCTGAGCAGGCATTTGTTCTAACAACTGAGATGCTGCTTCACCTGCATCCCAGATGGAGAGCCTGGCTGAGGTCATGGATCCTCACCATCCTGCTGATGCAGATCCTGGGAGCCAGCAAGGGATGGCGCATGGAGTAGAATTAGTGTCACTCATGTGAGAGATTGGGATTGGCTCCTGGCTTTAGCCTGGCCCAGCCTTGGCCACTGCAGGCAGTTGGGCTAACTGAAGGGAGCTCTTGAGCTCTCTCACTGGAGGGCATCTGACTAAGAGGCTCCTGTGCAGACAGCAATGTGAATAGTTACACATACACCAAGTTAGTTTCTCAAGAGCTACTGGAGTCAGGCAGGGAAAAGAATGCCTCACCTTGTTATAATCCTATCATGATGAGAGTCACATCAAAGAAAGCAAAAACAAGAGTTGTCCAGGCATGCCACCCTTCCCCCACTCCAGGGACAGATGCAGAGAGAGTTGCCTCCTGAGTGGCCACGGGAGGACCAGGGCCATTGTGAAAAGTTCAGATGACAACCCTTGTCCTGACCCCAGGACCACACCAGGGCAGGAAGTATTGGGAACTTCTACTGCCAGTTGGCCTCTGACAGCCTGCCCCAACCACCAGCAGGAAACAAAACTACAGCTGCACAGCACACACTTCAGAGCCCATTATGCTGAGACCGGCACTTAATAAAGCCTACAGGACTCCAGTCTCACCAGTGCTCCCAGACTGGCATCAAGCAGAGCCCTGAGCTCTGGAGGTTTGGACTCATTTTGCCATGTGTCACTGCTGGCCTCTGGTAGATCAACAACCCTGGGACTTTGCAGGGACCTCTGACTAGGGGACCTACTTGTGACCCGCTCAGGCGGTAAGAGGCCTGCTTTGTCACTCTCTTCCAACCTTAGGTGAACAGCAACAGGTCACAGGACTGCGTCTTTAGGTTCATGTTGGACTAATAAAGCAGAACCTAATGGCTTCCATCTCAAGGTAAGTGTCAGCGAACGTAACAGACACTTCTTATCTGGTGAGACAGACCTGTGCAAGTACCATCACTTGCCTCTTATGGGCCTTTGCACCCTCAAGATCACAAATGACCTGGTGACTATGAGACTAAGAATGAACACCTAGGACTGCCGGAGTAGTTGGGGGCTTTCTCATCATACCGACTACAACTCCGGAGAGCCAGCAAGGAGTCACAGGACTATTCCAGCCAGTACTAGGTCAATAAAACCCAGCAACGAACAGCTCCTAACAGTCCCTGGCCCCAGAGCACAGCAGAGTTCTCCACATGAGCAGTCTTCTACCTAAGCCAGCAGCAGCAGCAGCTGACAGGTGCAGCCCAGGCAGTCAGCCCTGCAGCAACACACAGGTCTAGTCCTATCTCCAGGTTTCACCTGTCTTGGTGACCAGAAGGCCCCAGACATGGCCTAGCATTGTAGCATTCATGGTCAAAGCACAAGGACAGGCTCAGGAAGAGGCTTGGAGGAAGGCATAGCCCCTTTTAAGGCATACGCCCAGTTAACACTGAACACATTTACAGCAGATTTACCTAAATCTGAGTTGGAGAAGTACCACCCATCAACAGCAGCCCTGGGGCAAATCATGGCTTAGGTGCTTCCTGTCTACTGCTGAAAAAACAGAAGTGTCCAGAGGCTCAGAGAAAACAGACTACCTAGAATTGCTAGGACATGCAGAAATGGAGCCAGAGCAGTGCAGTTCACCCTTCAGTATACAACACTAGGTATCAACAAGCATCGAGAACTTTCAGGGAACCTTGCCCAAATAGCAAAACGCATGCCACAAAAAGCAATCATCCTGAAATTCCCAAATTCTTGGATGATGATTTCAAAATAGCTGTTTCAATGAAGCTCAACAAAAATCAAGAGAACATGAAAAAATAATGCAATAGCCAAACAGAGATGTGACAGGTATCAGTTACATAAAATCAAGCACAAATCCTTCAACTGAAAATCAGACTTCAGTGGTTTTTAAACATGACAGATGGCACCATCCCAAAACAGACCAAACAGAACAATCGCTGTACCCAAAGACAGGATATTTGAAAATATAGAACTGGAGGAGAAAAAATTTAAAAGGAATTAAAAAAACCTTACATAGGATAGCATAAAAAGAACCAATACTTGGATTATTAGAATTCAAAGAGGATTCAAGAGGGATTTGAGAATGTCTCAAAGGAGAAGAAAGTAGATTCCAAGAAGTGATGACAGAAAACTTTCTAAAAATAAAGATACAACCACATCAAGTACAAAGGTCACCAGTTGGATTCAACCCAACCAAGCCCACCCAAAAACGTTACAATCCAGCTCTCCAAGAGGATTCTTATAGTTACAAGACAAAGGAAATCACTCCCATTTCAATCTCCCACATGGGAAGGAAGAAGCCCAAATCCTTCCTCGCAGGGTCCAGTGACATCGGACAATTTAACAACTTTGTGGGAAATGCACACTATGAAAAAACGAAGCAGGAATTTCAAAATTGTTTTGTACTAAAACAGACTTATTTCTAATTTCACCTTTTCCTCAAACTTTCTGAAGTAGTATTCTATGTCCACAGACCTTACTCATGTGATAAACTGAGGACAATCATTAACTCAGCTGTCACATCAGCTGGCTTGGCACCCAAGGACCCCGCACCCAAGGACAAGCCGCACCCTCCCCACCTGGACCCCGCACCCAAAGACAAGCCGCATCCTCCCCACCTGGACCCCGCACCCAGGGACAAACCCCACATGCCCCAGCTGGACCCCGTACCCGGACAAGCCCCACACGCCCCAGCTGGACCCCGCACGCAAAGACAAGCTGCACCCTCCCTAGCTGGACCCCGCACCCAAAGACAAGCCACACCCTCCATACCTGGATCCCGCACCCAAAGACAACCCCTACAGGCCCCACCTGGACCCCGCCTCCAAGGACAAACTGCACCCTCCAAACCAGGACCCTGCACCCAAGGACAAACCGCACCCTCACCAGCTGGACCCCGCACCCAAGGACAAGCCGTACCCTCTCAACCAGTACCCCTCACCCAAGACAAGCCACCCCGTCCCCAGATGGACCCCGAACCCAAGGACAAGCCGCCACCTGCTCTCCTGGACACGCGGGAGGGCCAAGCAGCACCCTCCCCTTCCAGGACCCATGTGCCCTGGGCGTCTTACCTTGTAGATGTCCGTTTCCCCTCAGAGTTCCCATGGTGCTGGTGAAGCCCAGTCGGTCTGTGAACACTCAGCAAGGCTCAAAGACCAGGCACTCTGGGGCGACACCAACTCCACCTCTTGCACCACAGGCACCCATGTGGGTCCAACATGGCGGCCACCACGAGGCCCTCCTCTGGTCGGGTGCAGGTGGACAGCAGGTGGGTCGAGGGTCAGCTGGAGTCCACGAGCCCTTCACGTCCACTCAAGGGCCAGCAGCGCATCTTCGGGCCGGAGAACTACTCATCACTGAGAGCCCAGCAGTGCGTCCTCTTCCTCTGCTGCTTCTTTGCTGACTGAGGCTGCAGGGCCGCAGCACCTCGCAGGAAGTGACCATGCGTCAGTCCCTGCGCGTCAGCACCACGCAGGATTCCTCCGCCGGACGCCCCGCCACGGTCGGGACCCTTTTCTTCCTCTTCCCTGACCCACTGTACCTGGCTGTGCTTCCTCTCTAGGCCCAGGGAATTGGCTGGAGGGGACTGGGGCTCCTTGCTGCGCTGGGCCCTGCAGGCAAAGGGGAGAGATGCACTGAGGACCTTATTCAAAACCTTTTTAAATAAAGACTTATTTGGGCCCAGCATGATTGCGCAGTGGTTAAGGTCCTCAACTTGCATGCCCAGGATCCCATATGGGCGCCAGTTCTAATCCCGGCAGCCCCACTTCCATTCCAGCTCCCTGCCTGTGGCCCGGGAAAGCAGTCGAGGATGGCGCAAAGCTTTTGGACCCTACACACACACACACACACACACACACACACACACACACACACCCCCACCTCTGTGGGAAACCGGAAGAGGCTCCTGGCTTCAGATCAGCATAGCATTGGCAGTTGCGCTCACTTGGGGAGTGAATCATCAGATGGAAGATCTTCCTCTCTGTCTCTCCTCCACTCTGTATATCTGACTTTCCAATAAATAAATAAATCTTCAAAAAAAAAAAAGTTCAGACAACAGCAGCCCTTGTCCTGGCCCCAGGACCACACCATGGCAGTAGGTATTCGGAACCTCTACTGCCAGGTGGCCTCTGACAGCCTGCCCCAACCACCAGCAGGAAACAAAACTACAGCTGCACACGACACACTTCAGAGCCCATTATGCTGAGACCAGCACCTAATGAAGCCTACAGGGCTCCAGTTCCTCACCAGTGCTCCCAGACTGGCATCATGCAGAGCCCTGAGCTCTGGAGGTTTTGGACTCATTTTGGCATGTGTCACTGCTGGCCTCTGGTAGGTTAGATCAACAACCCTGGGATTTTGGGCGAAATACACACTATGAAAAAACAAAGCATCAATTTCAAAATTGTTTTGTAGTAGAATAGACTTGTTTCTAATTCCTCCTTTTCATCGAACTTTCTGAAATACTGTTCTATGTCCACAGACCGTACTCATGTGTCATAAACTGAGGACAATGATTAACTCAGCTGTCACATCAGCTGGTTTGGCAAGGAGGGTAACCATGAGTGACATAAAAAGTGACAGCACATGTACAATGGGCTGGGTTATCAATATGAATTACATCGATTAACAGAATTACATGTGTGTGTGTACATTTCCACCATTCATACACACACACATACATACATATATAAGGAAATAATATTTTGGAGTCAACCCCATGGCATGGCAGGCAAAGCTGCCACCTGTAGTGTTACACTAATACATAGATGTTACTTTGACTTCCGGCTGCTCTGCCTCTGATCCAACCTATGATAACTTTACTATAAGGACCAAAAGCATTATAGCCATGGGCTGGCATGGTGGTGTGCCATCTCATTTGGGTACCAGTTCACATCCCAGCTGCTCTACTTGAGCAAGTCCTGACTAATGGTCTGGGCAAGCAGCAGAGGATGGCTCAAGTCCTTGAGCTCCTGTGCACATGTGGGAGACCAGGAAAAAGCTCCTGGCTCCCAACCGTGGTCGGGTCCAGCTCTGCCCATGGTGGCCATTTGCAAAGTGAACCAGTGGAAGGAAGAACCACTCTCTGCCTCTCCCTCGCTCTGCAAGTTTGTCAAATAAAACACATCAATTGTTTAATAATAATAACAACAACAACAACATTAAAGCATCCCAAAGCGGGGCCTGTTACTACAGCACAGCATTAACTTAAGCTGCCACCTACAATGCCAGCATTCCCTGTCAGGTCCTGCTTCAAGCCCCACTGTCTCACTTCTGATTCCACTTTCTGCTAACACATCCTGGGGAGCCAGAGAAGACAGTCCAGGCACATGAGTTCCTGCCACCAACGCGGAAGACCAGAAAGGAGTTCCTGGCTCCTGGCCTCAGCCTGGCCAAGCCCTGGATGTTAGAAGCCACTGAGGGAGTAAAACAGTCAATGGAAGATAGCATCCTTTCTCTGTCTCACTTCATTGTTCTCCCTTATAAATAAAAATAAAATACTTCTCAAAACATTTTTTTAAATATAGGTAGGGAACAGTATATAGAAAATATTAAAACTTTTTACCTCTTTATGTTTTCTGTTTGTTTCCTTCTCTATGATTAGTTGTTTATTACAGTCAATACAGTTTTTTTAAGCCTCAAACTAACTACAAAATAAAACGTACACACAGATTTAGCAAGGAAATCAAAGGACACCACTAGAGAGAATCACTAAACCACAAATGAAGACTGAGGGAAACGGATGGACAATAACAACACACAGGTCTTAAAACGGCAGCAGTAAGACATAATCAATCAACAATGATCTTAAATGTCAACAGACTCAATTCTGCAATTAAAGGCACAGACAGAGGGGTGTCAATGTTGTGGTGGCAGCAAGTGAAGCTGCCACCTGGGATGGGGTGCCAGCTCATGACCTGGCTGCTCCACTTCCGACCCAGCTCCCTGTGCATGTACCTGGGAAAGCAGTGGAAAGGGCCTCAGGCTTTGGGTCCCTGCAGTCAAGTAGGAGACCCAGTCAGGGTTCCAGGTTCCTTGCCTCAGCCTGGCCCATCTGCAGATGTTGTAGACATTCAGGGAGTGAGCCGTGCTCACGTGCGCTCTTTCATTGTCTTTTTCTCTCTGTCTTTCAAAGAAATCTCGCACACAAAAACTACTGAGCGAAAACACGGGGGAAATTACTGAGGACACTGAAATGAGCAGTGATTTTTCTAGCTCAGACTGAAAAAGTATACTCCTTGATCCTTTTCCACAGTAAAAGAAGGAAAACAACCTAGCAAACAAACAACCTACAGGAGTGGGGGAGAAAATACGCACACTGCACACCTGACACGGGACTGGGAAACAGAAACTGAAACAGCTACCCAGCCAAAACACCATCAATAACCCAATTAAAACAGACAGGAGATCTACAGGTAAGCCACCATCAATATGCTATACCATTTGAGTTCACTTTTGGTCCAACTTCCTGCTAATACATCTGGGAGGCTAGTGGGAAATGACCCCAACTATGGGAGCCCCTGCTAAACATGGGGGGACGAGGATGCAGTTCCTGACCCCTGACTTTAGTGTAGACATGGATGCTGCAGCTATTTTAAGCATGAACCAGCAAATGGAAGAGATACACACTCCCTGGACCTCCTCCCCCTCATTTTAAGAAAGATTTATCCAGCTAGCTCGCTGAAAGAGCTACAGGAGTGGGGGAGGTAGACACAGTTCAATCTTGCAACTGCTGGTGCATTCCACAAATGGCCCCAATGGCCAGGTCTGGACCAGGCCTAAGCCAAAAGAGTCTGGGTCTCCCCTGTGAGTACAAGAGCCCAAAGAATAGGGCCATGCTCTCCTGCTTCCCCAGGCTATCAGCACAGAGCACAAACCACACCCATAAGGGATGCAAGCTGTTCTGGGCAACAGCATCACTTACTGCCAGTCCCCTACTCTGTCTTACAAAAACTGATGGAGAAGATATAGAGAAAAGGGAATCCTTGCACACTGTTCATGGGATGATACATAAAACAGTACAGAGCTGTCTCAACAACTGGAAACGAGAATCACCATACAATCTAGCAATTCCACTAACTGGGAAAATTCAAAAGGGAAATGAAATTCATCCACCGAGCTGTCTGCACTCCACAAGAGCCAAGACATGGAAACAACCTAAGGATCCCTGTACTGATGAAAGTCTAAAGAAAATGGGTGTGTCAACATGGAAATGTAACTCAGTCATAAAAGGATGAGATGCTGTCATTTACAACACCTTGACTGAACCCTAGGTGACAACATCAAGTGAAGCACGGTAACACAAACATCACATGATCTACTCACATGTTGACTTAAAAACATAGAACGCTCACAAAACCTACAAATCTACTTGCGCTTACCAAAGCTGGGTGGCAAGTGGGGAGGGAAGGATGGGCAAAGGTTGGTTCATAGATGCTGGATTGTAGCTAGGTGGCAGGAGGTTTTGGGTTCCACCACACAATAAGGTGACTATAAAATCCTTCTCTCTCACTTGCTCTGTCTCCCTGTAACTCTCCCTTCTACACAAAAATAAATAAATCTTTACTATTTATTTGTAAAACTTTTCTAAAACACTTCAGTTGACTCCCCTTGTCTTCATTTTACCAAACATTTTTCCCATAGGAAACAGAATGCTAAAGGACTCACTCTGCTTCGCGCTGTCTACTTGGTGGCAATGACTAAATACACAGCATGGAAATGAGAGGATACCGCCATCTTACCTTACACACAAACTCTTCCATTCTTTCCACAGCATGATGGGCTTGCAGGAGAGGGGACATGCCCATAAACCCCTCATCTTCATGGGAAACTTCTTCACTGCACTCATGTTCCCCAGAGCTCTGTAAGGAAACCAGAGAAACGGTGACAGAATGTGAGAATCAAACAATACAATAAACATTTTCTTCCCCTTTTGCAGATCATAATTAAACTTTTTTGAAGATTTATTGTTACCGAAAAATCAGATATAGAGAGAGCAAGACAAACAAGAAGATTTTCCATCTGCTGCTTCACTCCCCAAGAGGCTGCAGCAGCTGGTGCCATGCCAATATGAAGCCAGGAGCCCAGAGACTCTTCCAGGTCTCCCACACAGGTGCAGGATCCCAAGCTTTGGGATGTCTTTGACTGCTTTCCCAGGCCATAAGCAGGGAGCTAAAGAGGAAGCAGAACTGCCGGGATATGAACTTGTGCACATATGGGATCCTGGTGCATGCAAGGATCCGCATCGGGGCCTATGATCAAACCCTCTTTCTGTCAAGTAGAAGACCTCAGACAAGTACCCACACCCTAATGAACAGAGTCAGCTTACTACCCAGCTACTGCTATCACACATGAGCAGTTACCATTCTCTCCTGCTGACACACGTGGGGCAGGGAGCGAGGGACTGCCAAACATCCCACCACCCTCCATGCCAATTCAACAGGCCCACAGACTCACTCCTCACTGTCTTGGCTCACACTGCATGATGCACGAGACAACACCAAAACCTACCCAGAGATCACTGGATGCACTGCAGCACCCCCCCCATCCTGCCTCCTTTGAATTCTCAGTCTGCTCCTTCCCAGAACCCCACCTCTTATCTTAAAAAGAGGCAAGCCCAGCCCAGGGGTGGCCAATGCTTCCTCTCAAAGCTGCCAGCACTCACTCAGGCTTGCATATATACTCTTTCCCCCTTTCCATAAATCTTGCTTTTCTGCTCACATTGGCTATGTTTCCAACTCTACACTTAAATGCGAGAAGACAAGAACATGGCTAAAATTTAGCTAGGGGTCTCAAAGGCTCTTGCCCTCCACAGCACTCTGAGCAGCCCACCCTGTATAACACGCTGACAGACAAGAGGATTCTCTACTACAATAGCTTCCCTCTGTCTCAGCTGTAAATTCCTGGAGCAGCTTCACTTGTTTTCTGCTTGAAGAATTATCTTCATGGAACACGTTGTATAAAGTTCAGAAAGCAGACCACCTTTCTCACAAACAAATATCAATCATTTTCTCTGGGGCAAAAGAAGAAAAGAAAAACTAATCTTCACAAACCTTTTTAAAAAATTTATAAAATACACAAAAGCAATGCTTTATATAGATCATCTAACTTAACTGACAACTCTTTGTAAGGTATTCGATGATTCATTTAACATACAATCATATTAGGCAAAGAAGTTAAGAAAGCTGTTCAAGGTTAGAGTTAATAAAGCAGAAAAGTAAAAAACAAACAAAAAAACATTGCCTTTCCAAGTTTTCAAAAAAATTATTAACTTGTGGAAAAGAAACAAGTGACAATGTGGTAGTATCTTAGAGAATGAATCACTCAAAGACTGCTGCTTCCAGATCAAGTTGCACAACAGTTTAGACGGCATGAGGCTGTCAGAGAGCAGTGGATGCGGAGGAAGCACTGAGAAGCTGGACGAGGCAGTAAGCTGCAGTCAGCTCATTACCACAGGTGTCTCACCTTGGAAGCTCCAATTTTCTCATCCATACCTAAGAGCAAGTGTTTCAATGATGTATTCTTTCCAAACCTCTAGTCATGTGTCTTTCATTCAACATATGACAACCGCAATGCCCTAGTTAAATAAAAATCTGCTGAACAGTACTGCTGAGGCTGACACTATGGTGCAGTGGATGAGGCCGCCAGGTGCAAGATCAACATTCCAAATGGGTACCAGTTACAGCCTGGCTGCTCCACGTCAGGTGCGGCTCCTTGCTAGTGCTCCAGGGAAAACGTGCAAGATGGCCCATTTGCATGAACTCAACCCTTCTGAAGGGTCACTGTGGCCATTTGGAAAGTGAACCTGCAGATAGATATTTTTTTTCTCTCTCTCCCACTTCCTCTCTGCCTTTCAAATAAATAAGTTAAATCCTGAGAGAGAGAGAGATAAACCATTAGCATAGTTTCATAGTGATCCTCCACCCTGGACCAGAAGGCAACGGTGGGAATGAACATGTAGAGATGGCAGGGAATCTACCATAACACCCTGAATCGGAACAGAACATTTGAAATCCTGAGATTTTATTATCCCACTCTTTATTTTACAAACTACTGACTAGGGGCCTTGCATGCAGCATAGAAAGTATATTGACAACACAACCGTTTCACGCATTTTAAAATCTACCTACAATCTGCCTCTTCACTGTTGCCACCAGTAAGACATACTCATGGGCCCCGTGGACTAAGCCTGTTGCCTGCAAACACTGGCATCCCACACTGAAGCTCTAGTTGGAGTCCTGCCTGCTCTGCTAACAACCCAGCTCCCTGCTAATTCACCTGGAAAGGTAGGGAAAGGTGGCCCAAGTGTTTGTCCCACCTCCCACCCCTGTGGGAGACCCAGAGAGAACTCTGTACACTCTAGATTGAGCCTGGATCACGCCTGGAGAGTGAACCAGTATACATAACATCTCTAAGTCAGCCCTATCATCCTGCCTTTCAAATTAACAAACTAAAAAAAGAAAAAAGTTTAAGAAGCCCTTTTATACCTAAACTTACTTGGCCCTCACTGTCTAACCCATAGTTTTCCCATTTAAAACCCTTCCCTTACTCCCCTAGCCTAGTATTTCTGAGCCTTTTTCTCCTTACTGCCTGCCCCTACTCCAGGAACATTTGTAGGTTTCTTATCCCACCGCTCTGAAATTTTAACAACACAGATATACTGCTCATGTACTGCGGCCCTTGGGAAAGCTACAAATTGTTATAGTGTTTTCCAAGAACCATTCTGTACCAGAGAATGCATGCACTATCCAACCCACACCAAGGCTTCCTATTTCAAACCTCTGTGTGCTATTTGTTTGACAACTCACATACGTGTTTGATTATTCCTTTTGTGGCATTGACTTCAAGAGTTTTATTTAGATTTGACAATCAGCACAGTGGTCACCTCTGGGAGTGAGGATAAGCTGGGAGTAGATCCCACACAGGTGCTAAACCAGCTCCTCTTGTCCTCTCTCTCTGCCTGTCTTGGAATCTACATTAAGGCTCCTGGCTACAAAACAAAATTCCCAAATTCCCACAGCAGAAGTTGATTCCACTCCTTTACAGAGGCCTAGAAGATCGGAACTGGAATGGACCTTCCCTGGCACAGCAGCACCATTTGCAAGCACAGGTACAAGGGGCAAGAAAAACACTTTGGACCGTGATTAAGTCACTCAACCTTGCTGACCATTACCCACCACCCTGACCTTCCTCACCAACAAGGAGTGAAAGAATCTAATCCCCTTACCTTAAGGATTTAGGGACGAGTGTGTGTGTGTGTGTGTGTGTGTGTGTGTAAAAGAAGATTACAATTACCTTTGAAAAACCCAGTTACTCTGCAATCATTGCAATTCTGAAGCCTTTCATCCTTCTGTTTCTTACACAAGGAATTCAATGGTTTGTTTTTCACCTCCAATATTGAATAAAACTTCTTAAAGTAGCATAAATATATACATAGACAAATATAATTAGAAAAAAAAAATGAGGCTCCTTTTCTCATCCGCAGGGAAGAATTCCTCAGGGCAGCAGTGGTTAGTACTGACACCATCCTGAGGGGAAAAGCTGCAGCTCAGCCTTCCACTGAAGCCTGACCTGGCGGGGAGAGGCCAGTGTGTCCACCTGCTTGCACTGCGTGCAGACACCACTGTGTACCCCGCCAAGCATGACGAGACAGAAAGAGACAGAGACAGAGACAGGAAAGGAAAGGAACAAAGAAAGAAAGGAAGACACAAACAAACAACGGGAGGGAAGGAGGACAGACATATATTTACATAATACATCTCCCAAAGCAGAAGGAGCCACATGCCTCAGAACCAGACACTCAAGCTCAGGGGGAGGGCTTGACCACCAACCCCGAGGCAGAAGTGCAGCAGGCCTTGCAGGACAATATGAACCTGAGGCACCTCTGCCCTCTATACCCAGAGACCACACTGAGTGCCAAGACCCAGCCTACCCTCTCCTCCCTGCACCAAGGACTCCAGCCTTCCTGGACAACACACAAAGGAACAAGCCACCGCCTGCCCTCCTAGACCCAGCAGATGGCCAAGTCACAACCTTGCCTCCTGGAACCTGCACTGAGTGCTAAGCCATGGCAAACCTCGTAAACCAAGCACCAAAGGCAAGCTGCCACCTCCCCTCCTGCACCTGTGCGGATGGCCAAACTACCGCTTACCTTCGGGGACCTCAGGACCATGGCCAAGTCGCCAGCTGCCCTTAACGACACCAGTGGAGGCCCAAGGAAAGGCCTGTGCTCAGATCACCAATGACTAAGACACCACCTGCCCACAAGGACCTCACAAAGATTACCAAGCCATTCAATGAACGCCTTCCTGGACCCCACGCCCAGGGCCAAGCCAAAGCCAACCTTCTTCAAACAAGCACCAAAAGCAAGCTGCCGCCTCCACACCGAGACCCCTTGCTGATGGCTAAGCCACTGCCTACCCTTCCAAACCACGCTGAGGACCAAGTCTCCGCCTGGCCTCCAAAAACTCACATTCAGGGCTCAGCCACGACCCACCCTCCTAAACCCCGCAGGAGTGCAAGTGGCCACCTCCGCTCCTGCACCACTGCTGATGGCCAAGCCACCCCCCTCCCCAGCCGGACCCCGAACCCAAGGACAAGCCACCCCCTCCGCAGCTGCACTCGCACCCAAGGACAAGCCGCACCATCCCCAACTGGACCGAGCACCCAAGGACAAGCCACCCCCTCCCCAGCTGCACCCTGTACCCAAGCAGAAGCCGCACCCTCCCCAGCTGCACCCCGAACCCTCCTCAGCTGGACCCAGCACCCAAGAACAAGCTGTACCCTGCCCAGATGGACAGAGCACCCAAGCACAAGCTGCACATTCCCCACCCGAACCCCGCACCCAAGAACAAGCCACCCCCTCCCCAGCTGCACTAGCACGGAAAGACAAGCCGCACATTCCCCAGCTGCAACCAGCACCCAAGGACAAGACGCCCCCTCCCAGTTGGACCCTGCACCCAAGGACGAGCCTCACCATCCCCAGCTGGACTCCGCACACAAGGACAAGCCACACCCTCCCCAGGTGGACCCCGCACCCAAGGACAAGCTGCA